CTTCTCAGTTCCCTTAGCAGTGTCAGCTGATCAAGGAACTGAAGGCAGCTCGCGTCCTACAGGACGAGAGGCCTCCAGGAAGCAAGGCTGGGAATAGAGACAAGGAGAGATGCTAGATTTGTAGATGAGCGAATAAAGGGGCCAGGAGTCAGGGCAGAAGTCAGAGGAGGGGTTGTCCGACCACGATATTATCCCAGGTGGGACCCCAGGAAGAGAGCCTGGGCAAGCTCCAGGGACTGATGGGGCTACATCTCCAAAGAACTCTAGATCCCAGGTCAGGGCTCCTTCTTAATTCTGCTGCAGCGTCAACAACTCCTCGAAAGGGTTCATTTTGGGGGACAGCACCTGGTAGTAGCTAAAGGGACCAGAAGGATAAGGCATCTGGGAAACAGCACACAAGTTAGCCTGAAGACCCACGCTTCTGTATGTTTAGGGAAGAGACAGTGCGCTACCTTGTGTAGGAGCCAAGGTGGCAGTTCTGCCTGGAGGTGGAGTCTGCGCTGCCTCCTACCCTATGCATACTGAGAGTTGAGCGGAAGTGTGCCTCGCAATGTGTGCTCTATTCGGGTCTTGGGGCGTTCCAGGAGGGCCCTGCCCCGTAACCAGAGTGGTTGGGAGGCTCGGGAGATGCTGGGCCCCACCCCTATAACCTGGCCACTCCAGGAAGCCCCAGCTGTCTCCCGAGTAGGCCCAGGACCAGCACTCCACTCTTGGAATCTGAGGTATGGGGTCCGCAGAAGGAAAACAAGGACCTTTTATTGCAGTGACTGGCCACTTCCCCCTAGCTTAGCAGGAATGGATGATGCTATCAGCAGAGCTGAACAAGGCTGGGGCGTGACAGGCCAACACGCTTCAAACTTGAGCTTCTGCTCTGAAGCCCCCTGCAGGAAGTAACTTAACTTTCATCTCTGGCCCCACATCCCTCTCCGTGAGACAGAGCCTGCAGTTGGCAAGACCCACGCATTTTGGAAAGCGGTCTACAAAGGCTGAGGCGATTTCCTTAAGGACGCTCGACACACTTCACAGACCACTGCATCTCGGTCTTTCGGTTTTGTCCCAAATGCATTTCCTGGCTCATAGCTCTCATACTTTCATTGTTATAAATATCAACAGCAATAAAGTTCCCTTGGTGTGATCTATTTCAAGACTTCAACTGAAATCTTGTTAAACTGTTTTTCAGATTTGTTTGCATGTTTAATCTTTTTTCATATATATGCCTATTGATTTTACAAAACATTGGGGTTCACTGTGGCATTTTCATAAGGCATAAAACACATTTCGATCATATGCTGTCTCCCTAGTACCTTCCTTCACACCCACCTCTCCCAAACACCCTTTCCTCCTGCCCCGCAGTCTATCTTCCATGTTCATGTCATCTTGATTCTACAGAGAAAACACGGAACAACTGCCTGAGTTTGGCTTATTTTGCTTCACATGATCTCCAAGTTCAGCCATTTTCCTGAAAATGGATTTTTTTTTGTTTGTTTCTTGGTACCGGGGATTGAACTCAGGACCTTGTGTGCTTGCGAGGGAGGTGGCAGCACCACTGCGCTAAATATCCAGCCCACAAAATTGATTTTTTAGGGTTTTGGGGTGTGTGTGTGTGTGCTGGAGATCAAACTTGGTTCCTTGTGCTTGTGAGGCAGGCAGCAGAACCACTGAGCTAAATCCCAGCCCTGGATTTTTTAAAGTTAAAAAACTTTTTTTGAGACAGGGTCTTACTGTGTAGCTCAGGCTGGCCTGAACTCATGATCCGCCTGCCTCAGCCTTGCACCACCACATCCATCTGATTTTATTCATTATGACTAAATAATATTCCATTGTGAATATATACACATTTGCAAGGTGATTCTGGGGATGGGACTCAGGGCCTTGCGCTTGCCAGGCAGCTGGCGGAACCACTGAGTAATCTTCAGCCCCCTATATACATTTTCTTTGTCCACTCATCCACTGACAGGCAACTCGGCTGATTCTGTATTCTGAGCTATGATATAAACATGGGTATTCGGATACCTTTTTAGTGTGCAGACTTCCATTCCTTTAGATATATGCCAAGGAGTATAGATGGATTATATGGTAGTTTTTAGTTTTCTGAGGAAACTTCATACTGATTTCTATAGTGACTGCACTAATTTACACACCAACCAACAGTGAATACCCTTTTCCCTGCAACTTCACCATCACTTACCCCATCACTGGGATGAGATGAAATTTCAGGACCTTGAGCTTGCGAGGCAGATGGCAACACTCACTGAGCTAAATTCCCAGCCCTGTAATTTCAAACTTAAGCATGTGGAAAGCCAGTTTTTCCAGCACGTTAGTAAAGAGGCTTTCTTCCAGTGAAGGTGTTAGGTTTTGTTGAACATCATGTGGCTGAGTATGTCTGGAGTTTCTCTGTGTCTCCTAGTCTGTTCCAGGTCTCTTCTTTTGCCAGTACCGTGCTGTTTTTATCACCGTAGCTTTGTAGTTTAAAGTCAGGGATTGTGATACTCCCTGCCTTGCCTTTGTTGCCTAGAATTGCCTTTGCTATTCTAGGTCTTTTCTGGTTCCAAATAAATTTTAAGATTGTTTTTTCTAATTCTGTGGGATATGCTTTTGGAATTTTGATTGGGATTACAGTGAATCTATGTAATGATTTTGAAAGTATGGCCATTTTGTTTTTCTTTTTTGGTGGTACCCAGGATCGAACTCAGGACCTTGCACTTGCCCAGAAGGCACTGTGCTGCTGAGTTAAGTCCCTGGCCCTACCCATTTTCACCACATTGCTTCATCCTATCAAGAACAATGGATATTTTTCCATTTTGATATCCTCTTCAATCTCCTTTTTCAGAGTACTGTAGTTTTCAATGTTTGACTTTGTAAGATTGATTCCTAGGTGTTTCATTCTTTGGGATGCTACTGTGAGAGGGACTGTTTCTCTAATTTCTCTCTCGAGACTGTTATTCGTTTACAGGAAGGCTGTTGATTTTTGTGTTGACTTTGAATCCAGCTATGCCAGATTGTGTTTATCAAATCTAGAAGACTTTCAGTGGTTTTGGGGGTCTTCTATGTAGCGTATCAGGACATCTGCAAATGATGATTATTTAACTTCCTTTTTTAAATCTTTATTCCTTTTCTTTTTCTAATTGCTCTGGACAGTGTTTCCAAATATAGTTCTAATAATCTTATGAGTGGTTTTCAAACTGAGTGACTAGCAGAACTCCCTATGAGATTTGTAGATACTGCCTATTTGAAGTTTCTAATTTAATAGGCAAGGCCTGAGAAATTGCTTTTTTTTTTTTTAGGTTTCCAGGGGTCTCTGATGCTACTGGTCCAGAGTCTACAATTTGATAATTACTCATCTACAAAATTAGAGACAGCTCACATTCATGCTAACTGTACTTACTGTTCACATTATGTACCAGACATCGTTTGGGCCAGAGGACACAGGAGCGAATAAGACAAAGTATCTTCCCTCAAGATTTCCTCCAGATACGAAGACATATTACAATGTACAGTCATTAAAACAGTATAGTTCTGGTACAAAAATACAGCGTAATGCAGATAAGGAAGAAAATACCCCGGCTTACATAACAAGTGTGTCTTCATTAAGGACAGTACTGCTGAATGCTACGGATGAGACGAAGGAGGCTCTGAGAGATGGGAAATGAACACAACGCTGCAGTTAGAAAACCTCTCTAGACAGCAGCTCGACAGTAAACAGTAATAGTCTTAAAAATACTCAGATGCTCTGATCCAATCATTCTGCCTCAGCATTTCACTCTCGGGAAACCATCAGAAACACAGCGGCATCTCCAGGTTCCCTGAGTCGCGTAGGGCTGCACCTGGCTGTGTCACGGAAGCCCGACTGAGGCTTCCACGCGCAGCGCCCCTCCCGCTCAGGTATCCGGAGTTCAGGGCCGGCGGTCGGCCAGGATCCCAGCCCTGCAGTCTTCTGCCGTAACACCCAAGCAGGCCGGCGTCTTCTCCACGCCGGAGGGCGTCATATCTGCACTCCATGCGGGGTGAAGGCAGCGGGGCAGAGACTCAAGGCTGCTCAGTCCGTCTGTCCACGTCAACCACCGAACAGCCCTACGAAGCGCTCCTACAGACATCGTAATGTGCCACAGCCAGGCACGTGACCTCCTCCAGCAGAAGCTGAGGAGGGATTTTCAACAAGGTACATTATTGTCTCCCCCACTGGAAGTGCCGTTTGGCTAATAAGGAAAATATAATAGTCAGTCTATTTTATTATGAAATTTTCTGTAGCTATTATGTCAGGTTTTTAAAATTTACAGATCTGGAAAATGCTCACAATATCATACCAAATGAGAAGCAAGGCAGCGAACATACTAAAATCTTGGTTTAGTTTAAAAAAATAAAATTTACATATATACACCCACACATGGGAAAAAATGTTAATTTTTTGTTAATTTCAGCCAGGTGTGGTGATGTCTGCCTGTAATCCCAGGACTCTGAGAGGCTGAGGCAGGAGGATTACAATTTTGAGCATAGCCTGGGAAACTTAGTGATATAGTGAGACCCTGCCTCAAAATTTACTTGTTTGTTTTGGTTTTTTGAGACAGGGTCTCACTGTGTAATTGAGACTGACCTGGAATTCACTATGTAGCCCAGGCTGGTCTTGAACTCACAGCGATCCTCCTGCCTCAGCCTCCCGAGTGCTGGGATTACAGGTATGTACCACCACACCCAGCTCTGTCTCAAAATTTAAAAAACTAAAAGAGCTGGGGATGTAGCCCAGTCCAAAGGCCCTGGGTTCAATTCCTAGTGACACAAAACAAAAACTAAAATTAACTGTAGTTAACATCTACATACTGTAGTTGGTATTTCTAGTTAGACTGGTAATGATGGACAGACAGCTTTCATTTTATTTTTTGCTACATTTTCTAAATTTCTATAATGTACTTATATAACTGGAAAAAAAAGTTATTTTTAAAAAACACAGGAAAAGGGCCAGGGATTTACCTTAGTGGCAGTGCACCTGCCTGGCAAGTGCAAAGTCCTGAGTTTGATTCCCGTACTGGGGGGTGGGATAGGACAAATATTATTTTTAAAAATACTTCATATACTTTCAAAGGAGACTAAGCTAAACCGTCTGTGCTCACTCATTTTCATCATCATTGCCAAAAGAAAGGAGGCTGCTGTTTTTGATTTGCTTCTGCAAGTTCTTTTTAAGTGAATCCTGCTTATTTACTTCATCTTCATGTGTCTTCTTCTTTTTTGAGCTTGCTGTTAAACCTGAGAATTTTTCATCCGGAGACCGCTTGACTGGTTTTCGATATAGGATTCTTCCACCAGGTGGGGCTGGTTCTTCATCTGAAGCAAAACAAAGTTAATTTTCTTCTCCCTCATTATTCTGCTATTCTAAGAGAGCCAACAGGCAAGGAGACCCACACTGCAGTTAAGGGTGTCATTGAGAGCTTTCAGTCTGGTCTTCTCTACCTCTCACCAGGAGCCCCACGGACGTGCACAGACTCAATAAACCCCACCAAGCTGCTCCACAGTAGGGTTAGCCGGCAGCTGACTGCAGTTAGGGCCAAACCTCGGGCCTTGCACATGCTCTACAGCCGTGGGGTCCCCCAGCTCATCAGGTTGTTTTGGGAAATGAACCCAGGGCCTTTGTGCTGAGCTACATGCCCAGGCCTTTTGCCCTTTAACAAATTTTTTTGAGACAGAGGCTCACTAAATTGCCCCAGCTTGGGTCCTGCTTTAGCCTCTCTGAGTGCTGGGATTACAGGTGTGCACCACCATGTCTGGCTTTAAAGGTACTGAAAAGTAAAACAGTACTTTCCTCTAAAACAATGAAATGAATGTTTAGGGATAATACTACTATATACTACACATATTATACCCTAAACTTCAGATACTAACTACATATACTTCTGTTGATTAGTTGTAAACTACCACCTACTAAAGGATGCTTTTCCTTAAATTTGCACTTAATCCTCAAACAACCCAAAAAGGTACGTACACTTACTGTCTCCATTTTACAGACAGGAACTCAAGCCTTGGAGGTGAAATAATCTGCTCAAGGTTACATACCGTAGCTAGTAAGTGTCAAAGCCATTGCTTGAACCAAGGACTCTCCTTTAAACAAATCATACTATTATATAAACTAAAGCAATTTTATACTCTGGGCTCTTTACATTGTTAGGAAACCCAGGTAACTTTCAGGCATACCTGTTTTGGCAGCCTTTATTTCTGCTTTAATTTTCATGACTTCTTCAGCTGTCAGGTCTCCCTTTTTTAAAACCACCACTTGGGGCTGTTCGTCTTCTTTGTCACTGTGTTCACCCTCTTCATCTGGGAGCTGAGGTTGGATTCTCTAGGGGAAAATGCAAATACAACATGTAGGCTGCTGACCTTGACTCCGGAAGCAGCTGTAATTATGAAAGAGGAGGTTAACAATCAACTCAATGTGGCAGGAAATACAATTTTCAAGTAACTCCAAAGAGCCGAACCTCGCCATGTCAGGGAGCAGGTCTAGCGGGCGGTCACCCTGGGGAGCCTGTCCAGTGGAATCCACTTCCAGCTTGGCAGGACCCCAGCTGGCAGCCGCTTGTGAGGGGCCCTCTGCCTTGGGTAACGCTATCACTCCCGGCCGATTCGAGGCAGCGCTGTGCTGTATCACTGCTCTATGCGTCTCATCAGCACTTCTCCCCTCCCCAGTAGTTACACCAGAAGTAGTCAAACACCGTCAAAGTTTGGAAAGCAGCAATTAAAAGGTATTATTTCCCCTACAGTATCTCTTTAACAGATTCAGTTCAGTGGATATCCTATCAGAGGTTTTCCAAGTATATACAAATATGTAAGTATACACAACATGTTGTATACAAACAATACCATATTCTGTAACTTTTCTATTTTTTTATGTTTAAATTACAAAATTTCTCAAACATGAAGAACAGAGAATAACATAATAGAACCACAGAATCCTACTATACAGGTAATACATGGTAACATTTTGCCAGTTGATTCAGAATTTTTAAACTGCCAGACATCAGAAAAGCCCCACTCCAACTTTTTACTAAAAAAATTTTTTGCACAATACCTTGAGTACAAATAGGATTATTAATTTATAAATCACTGCCTTGAGTTTAATTATATATACAGTATAGTCATCTCATGATTTATTGTACCCTATAAATAAAAAAGTTGTTTCCAGTTTTTTCCTACGATGACAAAAACCTTATATACGTTTCTGCCCACTTCGGGAAATTTATGATAAACTCCTGGAAGTGGGACTACTGGGTTGAAAGAAATGCACACCAAAAAGTGTCTGCACACATGCTGCTTCTTTGTTTTTTTAAGTGTTTTTTTGTTTTGTATTTTGTATTTTGTTTTGTTTTGTATTTTGGTCGGTATCAGAATTCGAACTCAGTGCCTCATGCTTGCCAGGCAGGTGCTGCATCACTTATAAATAAATAAATTAATTAACTTTTAAAAATGACTACAGTAAAGCACATTTTTTTTTTTTTTTTTTTTTTTTTTTTTTTGAGACAGGGTCTCATTATGTAGTTCAGGCTGGCCTCCAACTTGTTCCGATCCTCCTGCCTCAACTTCCCTGAGTACTGGGATTACAGGCTTGCGCCGCCACCCCACCCCCACCCCCGCTAGCACACATTATCAAAGCAGCTTGTTATTCTACTTCTCATGGAACCCTGTCTCCTCAGCAGGATAATAAAGCCTTGCATGACTTGGCCTCAGCCTCTAACGGCTTTATTCTGTACCACTCTCACAAACTCTAAACTCCAGCCAGGTTTTAGTACCTGGGAGATCCATGAATACACCCTCTCTTCCTTCCGTCTTAATGCAAGCACTGGACACACAGTCCTAAATAAATTTACTTCTCCATACGTTCTCTACACATAATGGCCTGTTATTACTGAGAGTGGTGGAGCAGCTTTTGGTGTGAACTCGTCACTGTGGAAAACTCAGCAGGCTCAGCACTTGAAATCTGAAATCCCATTCCCACAGTCAGTGTGGCTCTCTCCTGAAGCTCTTCTATTCCAACCCGGCGTTACAAGGCTTTAGTTTACTTTTTCTTTTTGGTACCGGGGATTGAACTCGGGTCCTTGTGCTTGCAAGGCAGGCCACCGAACCACTGAGCTAAATCCCCAGCCCCCAGTTTACTTTTTCTTAAAAATTACTTTATCGTAACAAGGGATAAAAATAGATCCAACCCATTATGCTTTTCCAAAGATGATCCAACCTCGTGTCTCAGGGCATGATGTCATCTGATCCGGTGGCCTCGGTTTCCTCACCTGGAAAATGGGCTATGCTACCACGTACCCCCGCTCACAGAGTCTGAGATAAGTGACAAAGAAGAGACAGGAAGGCGATCTTTCCTATCTCCAAGGACCAGGCGCTTTTCCTACCTCAGGACGTCTAGAAGAACAAAGCAGCGCTAGAAAAGGAGAGAGCTCCCTAGATGCAGGAGGCTGGCACAGTCCGGGCAGAACGGGGCCGGAGTGCGACGGCCGTCAGAACAGGGACAGTAGGAGGGAGCCGTCAGTACCGAGCCTCCAGGTACTAGCCTCCGGGGAAGTGGCGGGATCATCCCGGGCTCACCTTGGTCTCCACGGTGGGCCCTTCCCGGTAGCCGACCCGCTCCTTGAAGCGGGAAAGGAACGCGGGCTCGGCGGGCCGTACGTACGACACCCGGTTCCGCTGGCTCATGGCAGCTGCAGATAAATACAAGCTTCCTGGGCCGAGTCGCACAGCACAGAGGCGCAGCGCACACACGAGACGTCACGCGGCCACGCCCTCCGACGCGGAGGCGGGGCCAGGGGCGGTGCCTGTGTGCGTCACCGCAGCGCCAAATTCAAATCTGCCGCCATCTTAAGCGGGCGGGTTCTTGGTGCGGCGCGGCTGCGAAGCTTATTTGGTGGCTGCTCGACTCTTGGACCCGGTGCTGCGGCTGCTATGGCACCGGGATGCAAAAGTAAGGGGAGCTCGGCCTCGCGACCCCAGCACC